GATAAAAACCAGATGACTTGTAGATCTTCATCAGATTATGAATCTTCTTAGGAGTGTATTGGAACAAATTCTTTGAATCTCTGGCCATAGCCTAGAACATAAGGTAATGATTTGTATCAAAATTGATTATCAACTTCAGATCAGTCCATTTTACCTTATAATCTTCACCATATCGCTGGGAAAGATAGATCAGCAGCTCAACATCCCTATCAGGTAAACGAACAACACGTGGTTGTGATTCACGTCCAGCAAGCAGATCTTTCGCTTCGTTTTCCAACGATGAAACGACTTTGATGGCCTACAATATTTGCCATAATTCTAGAAGAATTACTTGGCTAATATGATCAGAAACAATGTCAATACAATATTTCTTCAAAAACTCTTCTGGAAATGTGTTCACTAAAAAACTTGCTAAATTGCTTATCAATTCAAGGCAAGAAAGCGCACTATGGGGTTTGGCTTGTGTAAATATCAGTGTATGGACCCTTTAGTTCTAGCGAACTAAGGAGATCGCAACTAATCTTTCTTCCAAGCGATAACTGCAAAACTATCTGTCTGAGCCTGACTTAAAAAGGGACCTTAAATCTCTTCACAAGTAAAACACTTGATCAACTAATTCAACATTTGACAACTTCCTTGCTTAGCAAACTTATTACATTTTTTGAAATTGTGCTCATTGCCATCAAGCAAACAATTCGCTATAGTATCGTAGATCTTGGCCAAAAATTAAAATTTGGGAAATCCAAAATTAGGATCCTCAATAAATTAAATTTTGACTCACTTTTTCTTTCAAAAGCACCACACGTTTTGCTTCTTGTTTCCTCAACCGTTGTTCTTCTATTGTTCCTAATGCTTGCGCTTCAACAAGATTCATCTCTTCGATAGGCTCGAAATCAATAATGTCACGCTAAAACAGTATTAACCTCCTGGTTTGCAACACTGATAAAAATACAATTTGGAAAAGATAGCACGTCAGTACTCACATACGGTTGCCTTACTGGAACTGCTTCATTTGGATTGAAGGCTAAACCCATACACAGCACATTTTCTCGGGGAGTTTTTGTTGTCTCCCAGTTCTCCTTGATGATTTTCCTTTAAAAAATCTCAGAATTCTTTAGTAAGGTCAGGAAAGAATTTGCAATGAAACCCGGCTGAAAACGACATAACTAACTTATGCAGTAAGCAATCTTAAACAGCTAATGAGGTAAAAGCTGTACAATGCCTAGCTTAAGTGAATTTTCGAAAGTCGAGAACTGAAAGCAAAGTAGCAGTGGCTAAGAAAAAGCCCCGTCGTCCCTCTTTGAAGAATGGGTCGAAACTTTAGGAAGTGAGATAAAAACCATCCAACTTAGATCATCAAATTTTCGCCACCACCCCGAGAAAAATTCCTCAGCCACTTAAGCCTGATTCAGAACACTATAGCTGTCAAATTTCAGCTGTGATGGAAAACTGACATTGAGCTCTTGCATTTCTTCTTATTTCTTTCGCTTTGCTTTCGTTTCCTCGCCGTTTGATTCAGGTGTGCTCTAAACTTCTTTCCTTTCTTTTTCACCATGATTTGATAACTGAAATCAAAAAGCAATAATTAAGAAAAAAAATCATTGTCCACTTGAGAGAACTAGATGAGATGGACTACGGATCGCCGTCATCCGTTGAACTTTCTTGCAAAAACAACATACATGTTTCTCACTACAGTATATGGTTTCAAAACTGAACACAATATTCCATGCAAATTTAATTACGTAAAGAAATGTTGCAGCATATGAAATAGAACTCGAACCGAATAAGTAATTTTTTGCACAGAAACATCCACTAATAGTGAGACGCAAAACACTTTCTTAACATTCAGCTATTACGTATTCATCGCATCGACAGAACGAATGTTTTCACAGTAAGACATCTGATGTAATTTTTACCGA